AGTATGTTGACTGTTGTTCACTGAATTTTTTTCCTTTAAGGAAAATCATTTTCGAGATTGTATTTTTCTCTTTATATACAATAGGTACTACGCAAACTTAACTATCGATCGAACTTAATACTATGTATAAAAATTAAAATATGTAATAGGTAGATAATATTATTATGCATCATTTCCAAAGGTAAATAATTAGAAATTATCATTAATTATTCATTTTCGATTGACGAGAAAATATCATAGTAGGTACCTAGTTTTTAAAATACGATAAATAGTCCTCCTTAACTTTCTCCATTGCAAACGGGTCACTGGATATTATTTCCACTCAACAATTTGATCCTTGTAAACCAATTTAACGATAATGTTCTGTTCATTCAATCGAAAATTATGAATAATAAATATCGATAGCTTTATGTATTATTGTTAGGCGTTAGCCATTATTTTACTAATGTTTGTATCGATCCGGTGATGTACTGTACATTTTATCAATAAGGTATTCGAAACTGTACTTTTTTTTACCTTTCTTTTCCAAAATGTCACACTAACTATCCAATCAGAAACAATCAGAAACATTATAAACCCCGGACTATATACAAATAATATACGAGCATTATTATACTTATTTTATTTACTTGACTACATTATAATTCAATATTTTTTTTTCGTACTGTTTGATGTCATTGTTGCCTAGTTTAAAAACGGTACTTACATATTACATCGCGGGTGTACATACCTACCGCTAGTACCTACGTATATATTATTATCTATTATATAAAGCTTCTGTAAACGCTGCATTTGTAGATAGGTAGTGTATGGTTATTAATCATAATCGTACGTATTACGTAGACGGGTAACTACTTATATATTATACAGAGTGGTTCACCAAGCATCATAATCATCTCTTTCTATCCTTTAATCATGAATTTATTCAAATTATTATTTTAAATTTAACATTAATGCCATATTTTAAAGCACCCACTTAAACTTTTTATACTTATTTTTTTTTTTTTTTGTGACATCGACGACGCTGCCAATTGCCTGCCATATCTGCTTAAGCATTATATCTTCAGTGCCCCCATCGTTTATTAATTTTTTTTCACAATTAATACCTACAACAATTTGTTGCAATTTGGTTTCCGTGCACTCCGGAACCCAGGGACTATGTTCCGTAGCGATTGCTAGTATATATTATGTGTAGGTCGGAGGTCTCTGAGAGTCTACAGTGTTAGGACTGGCTTTGCTACTTGGGGAAATTCAAGACGTACCCTGCCTTATCCGCTCACAATTGTCATATAGTAGGACGTCCTATTTCGGACGTTACGTACTGAGTTTCATCATCATGAGCCGGCGATTTATGAACTAAAGATAATATTTCTTAATAATGATCCTACATAAATATAAAATAGTTGTATAATAAATTTAGTCTAATATTAATATAACTACCTAGATTAATTATTATACTCTGACAATTTTTTCAAATTAAAAATTATATAATAAATTAATATTAATTAAGTACTGTAATTTTTTAATCATCATAGATGGAACATATCTTTTAAACCTATTTAATGGAATACTATCCCTGGAACATAAAGTTAAATAACTATATAGTTATAAGCTGTTTCAAATACAATATTTAAGAAAAAATCATCTCGTTGATTCCATAGACAATATATATATTAAGAATTGTGTTCTCGACTTCTCGTTTATAAAAAATAGTTTATGTCACCACTAGACACTTCTTTAATTATACATGCCAACATATTTGAAAATAGGGTCCTTTAGTATAGGTTCTTAAAAAATTCTAAAAATCAGAATTTGAATAAATTAATTATCAATGAAAACAACGGGGGTGAGCATTCTTTGTGATTCAGTCTGATTATCGGGTGCGGCACACACGATATTTGTAGTCCGTTCGCTGTGTGTTATGTGGCCCCCGGCAGTGGGGCGACATTCCACCAATTTTTGGGTTGCCATTTTTTGGTACTTGTTGGTCGTTTCAGTTTTTCTCTGACCCCTTTTATGTTGGGTCGCGTGTGAGGCGTATTCAAATATTATTATAGTCAGTAGTCACTGACAAAATCCCCATCACGTTCTTATATAAATTATGTGTTATGTTGTTTATTTCTTCGAAAAGATAATGGGTGCCACTGAACACGTTGGGGTGAGTAAACGTTGTGTGAGTTAATGTTCGATCAGCAATAGTATTATTACATGGACACTGGGATTACGAAAAGCTCTATGAAAAAAAGAGTAAAACAATTTTACGTCGGAATAAGTCGGTGAAAACGTATCAAAAGTTTTACGGGGTAAATAAAAAAATAATAAAACCTAAACGCGTTGTAAAATGTTCGTGACGTCATATTACACAATATGACGCAGTAGGTATACTCGCGGTTCTATAAGTGAGGGAAAGTTCAGGTTCAAATCGATCACTTGACTCGAAAAAAACAACACTAATAATTTGCCATGAAATAAATATATGTACTCACACCGATGAATTCGTACTTTGTATAGCCGTATAGGTATAATATCACGTCACTGTATCGCGAATTGACGTATGTAAAGAGACTACGCTAATATTATTTCGATGAGGGGAATGGCAGATCGAATGATTATCTATATAATCACAATAAAATTTGCAGTATACCTATCACGAGTATAAAATATGTTGCCCACCCGGGAGGGATGTTATATCTATAATAGTGTAGACAAATATAAACGCGTATCGTAAAAAAACGTATTATTTCAGTTGGCGTCATATTAATTCAAATCACTGTAATGTAGATTTTTATAGTATTATACACACTATTATAAAAAATACTATTTCATAACCGTTAAATTCTGTATAGTATAATATATTAATACTTAAGTCGTTAGCGATGGCGGTTATTTGAAACTGATATATTATTACTATTATAAAATGTACTGTTCATCTCAAAAACCGTGTATTTTCCTCTATATATAAATATAATACAATTACAATCTTAACGATCATAATATTTAATCGTGATAAATAATATCGAGCCGACCTAGTGCGACGGAGCATATTGATGTGATGTAAATCTATATTATAGTTTTTAATTTATAATTTAGTTTCGTGGTACATCAGTTAAATAATCAATTGCTAGACACAATGAATAACCAGCAAGGAATTTTATTTTTTTTAGTTTAAAACGAATACTACATCTATCTACCACGCATTTAAAAAGCAAATATCTACCCTGAAAAAAATACTTGAAACTTTCAAAGTATTACGTGACCGCAAAAACCTACAACACAACAAAAACTAACTGAGCTTAACTTTTTGTACCTATCGTTTTTAAAAGTTTTAAAAAAAAATGTCCATTGTGCTTTCAAACTGTCCAGATCAATGCCATAAACAAAAATGAGGCATCAATCATATTACACTTATTTGTACCAATGGTGGACATTTTATAAAACTAAACTTAGAGTGTTAAATAATTTTAAACTCATATTATTTTTTATACCAAAGTCAATCGCAATACCCGCTGCTTCCAAATCAATTCATTATCGACATTCAATGTTACTTATATTTTATTTTACACATGTATTACATTATAATACTTATATACGTACTAGGTAGTTATATCAATTACATTAGAATATCAAAATAATATTGTATTCATATATTAAAGACCAGTAAACATACCGTTATAATATATAAGCAGGTTACGTACCGTTTGGGACTAAAAATAATTACATATTCAATGTATGGAATGTTATAAAACATCAGTTCATTACTATAGTTGTATACAAAATATTTTAAAGTACAGAGGATTCAAATACTGAATTTTATTTTGAATACTATTTTATGCATTTTTTTTTTTTTTTATTTTTTTTATTTTGAAAATTTACAATCTATACTAACTAAGCACAATAAGTAAATATGATGACAGTTTACAAGAGAGAAAAAAAAAAATAACATGAATAATATGAAGAGGGAGGCCATCCATTGATGGAACCCAACGTGAGTGTTATAATTGATGAGTCGCATTTAAGCAAGACCAACTTACATAAGTTTGGTTATGACGGTTGTAAGCAGTGCGATAAGAGGGTTTAGTATTAATTTGAATTCATTTATGAATGAAGATAATTGAGAAGCGATTTCCGAATGGGGAGTTGGGTTATTAGGAGGAATATTTTGGTTGTCTTTGAGGTGGTGTTGGTTTGGCGGGTGGTGAGTTAGGTTGGGAAAGGACGAATTGTCGTTAATATTTAGAGGATCACGTTGAGTTTCGGAAGAAGAGACTCCCCCATTGTTTACAATTTGACTGTAACTTACACTAGGTTTGGATATTTTTGCATTGTAATTTGTTTTTGTTTTTCCGAAGTGAAGGCGTTGAAATTCTTTGTGGACTTGACATCCACGGTAGTTTGCCGTATGATTTCCTTGACAGAGGGCACACACTGGTGGTTGGTCCTTGTCCTTAGTACAGGAGGAAGTTGGATGGTTGGCGGCACATTTTACACATCTCGGGGCGTGAGCGCAGTAAGATTTTGAGTGTCCATATTCTTGGCATTTAATACATTGTACCACTGAGCGTTTCTTATAAGGTTCTTCAATTTTTATTTTGGTATTTAGTAAAAACTTGATAGAGAAAATGTCCTTGTTGATCTCGGCCGGTTCCAGGTCGACGAAAAATATTGGAAGTTTTTTTTTGTTGATTTTGTTTATAACATTAGCAACGTTGCGGACGGAGAAGCCACCAATATCCTCAATCGCTATACCGATTTCAGATGTAGGCGTAGATGGGTGGATATTACGGATAGCTATTCTGAAAGGTTTGTCTTCATGAGCTTGATAGGTATGGAATTCGGCTTTGCGATCTTTTAGATATTTTATTAATGCTCTGTAAGAGTCGGGGTCAGTAGTTTGAATTTTTAAGTCGCGGGTTGATGATTTAACTGAGAAGTTGTTGACGCCAAGTAATTCTATTAATTGGGCACGAAGTGTGAAATAATCCGACACTCCACGAACAAAAATGGGTGGAGGCGGTTTAGGTTTGGGTAGTTCTGTGTCCAAGATCATATCAGATATGTTGTGGTTAGAGCCGGTGTTGTTAGATACGGTATCGTCGATATTAAGTTCATTGTATCTGTTAGATGATGCGAAAATTGACTTGCTTTTTTTAATCTTTTCGGTTGTTTGGCCGGTTGATGTAACGGAGAGGTTACGTTTTGGTTTGGATTTAACCAGTGTGAAGCCGGAGTCATTTTCATTAGAATCTGAGAATACGTCATTTGACACACTCTGTAGGTCTGTACGTGGTCGGAAGATAAGGTTCCGTGTGTTTTTGTTTCCATTTATAGGTGTATTATTTGAATTAGGCATTCCGCGATATCGGAACGCGGAACAGCAGATAAGGCAGCCGCCGGCTGCGTGCCGGTGACCGTTCGACGAGTTTGATAAAAACTAATTAAAATTACCAGTTTTTTGGGTTTTGAGGCTTAAGTTTGGAAAAGAAATCTTATTGAAGATTTTCACGTGAAAGGTTGATTTTTTCCACATTCAGCGTTATTAAAAACGTGAAATTTGGAAATGGTGAACGGAGACAAAATAACAATGTTTGAAGACGAAAGACACGGCGTGTGTAGTGAACGGCGAATCGAACGCGACTATTTTATGCATTTTAATGATATTTTTCAACATAGGTAATATCCTATTATACATATTACATAATAGGTTTTATCTTATTTTACATAATATCTAGTATTTATTATATTTGTTATGTATGCAACATATAACTTCAAATATAGATATATACAGAAAGAAAGATCAATAATAATCAGTGATGTATGTTTTGGCCTTTAGGGCATAGCTCGTCCAAAGAAAATTTATGAGAAACTAATACCCTCAAGCTCCATTCCCCAATAGGTTTCATACTTCCATCTAAGACCTGTGCGTAGGTGCGTGGTTACATCGACCCTGAAACGTATCCCAAACAACAGTACAATCAAATATTTTTAATTACGCCGACCGAGACGCCTATAAAACAGGCCTGGTTGACGACGTGGGCTCAATGGTGGTGTGTGTCGTTGCGTTTTTATTACCCATTCTGGCGGCAACGTATAATAATATTTCGTCTTGTACACACGTTTGCGGTGCGTAAAAAAGCTGTAAAGTTTTCTCAGTACAGCAATTAAACGTACAAGTCTATTCCTTGCTATACACACACAAGTCCGGTACAATATGTATATTTTATTAATAATATAATTTATTATCATTGCATTTAAATAATATGTACACGCGCTACCATTAGAGCAGTAGTAGCAGGTGAACTGATGTACAATTTTATACTGCTCGTTTTGGCGTCGTACAAGTATGTATATTTTAATGTCCGATGTTACAACTGCGGCAAGGCGTCCCATATATCCCATTTTTGAAAATGGCGTAGGGGTGTTATTATTTCATTTATTCCTCTCGTACAACCATTGGGTTTGCGTATAAGTGAACTCGCTATGGCTAACGAGTATTTCAGCTAGATCCCTGGTATGTCACAGATCTGGGCTTGAACATTAACGCTATGAAAATGTACTAAAAAGTTACAAAAAAGTATACATCTACTCAATTTGAAGCAAATATAAGCACTTAAAAATTTTTTTGATTTTATTTTTGGATTTACTCGGGTAAATCCAAAACTCGGGTTTTCTGCGTCGCAGCACGCTAGGCCACTCCGTCCCCCGCATATATTATTGTATGCACTGAAACAGTAAACAATTTTTATATTCGATTCGTAAAGCCATGTCATTAATAAGCTAAGAATATAAAAACGCCAACGCAACAAAGTTTGACCCCTAATCATTTATTTTATTTATTTATAATAAGATGGACGTTGTTCAGATACAGTAACTACCTACATATATTCAAAATAAATATTATGTAATTAAACAACTTTAGTCTGAGAATGATACACGGTTGTGGCAGGGTTATTTCTATGGTTTTCCGTAGTTTGTATTATGGATTATGGATATCATAGGAATATGAAATGCACGTGGTCGTGAGGAGCGTACAGTGACATAGGAATTATAGTAGGTGCTTATAATATCAACTAATAAGGCTAAGCTGTCCACTTCTTCATCGAGTAAATTTGAAAAGAAAAAGAAATTTACCTCTATAAATTCCAATCAGCTTAAATCATAAATCATACTATAGTAATATACACATATGCGTCTATACGAGGTAGCTATAGCTCTTGTGCAGTACCTATAAATGCACACAATCCATTAAATCATAATGTTGTTAGTGTTACATAATAGGAGCGACTGTAATATTATATTAAATTAATTTAGTAGAGTGTCTCTAGCGGAATATATGAAACGATGTCACTCGAGAGACGTTTAATTCGAGTGTTTTCGACTGGTGCCTAAGCTGTTGTATAATATTGAATTTTCATATATCGTTACGTTCTCGTTTTAGATTATAAGCGGAGCGATGAATGTATTAATTTTACAATGATGTGTGGGTTTTTTTATTTTTATTGTTTAATTTTTTGTGTCTGATAAGTAATCAAAATAATACTTCGATTTTCGACTTCAGTATCTTTTCCGGTTGGAAAGTGAATCTAGTTGGTGCATTTAGTGCTTTAGGCAAAAAAAAATTGTTAAGAAAAAACGGGAATGTTAACTCAAAACGTTTTCTTGAACATTTTTCTTTTTAAATCTAAGATTTGAAAATTTAATACAAGATTCCTCATAAATTTGTCTACGTTTATCAAAAAAAATTGCTACCGGAAAATCAAACAAAATTTTTATAAGCGTTTGAAGTTCAAATTTTTTACAACATTTTATATTCACTCGATTTTTCACTTAACGATTTTCTTATTTTGTTGTAATTCAAAAACGAATAACTGTAGATACTTTAAATTTACACCATATATGTATTTTATCTGTTCCTATATTTGACAAAAGTTTCATAATATTTTTACATGTTTTGAGCTGTTTACGAACATTTTTAGTTTCCATTTTTTTTTTTTTTGTGAAAATTGAATAACAAGGCTCCTGATATATTGATACAATATCGGTTGAAAAATAATAAAAATACAAATGCGCAATTTTTTTTATTAGCATTTTAAGTTTGAATTTTAACAACATTTATCAAATTAAAAACGTAAAAATAATTTTGTAGTTAAATATTTATAAAATGTTCAACTTTTATAGCTAAAGATTGAAAATGTATAAAAAGGTTCCACGTAAATAGGTTTTTCTGTTACCAAAAGATCTAAAAAAAATAAAACACAGTTTTTTTTAGTTATTTTATGTTTAAATTTGAAAAAGTTAGATATTTAAACGAAGAAGAATGGTTTTAGTTTTGTGTTATATTTTAAAAATATTATTAGATAGTGGGTACTTGAAACTTCTAAAGTATATTATTATTATATTATACAAATATGAAATATTACAATAAACAAACAATAATAGTTCAACTTAACCGACTACCGTATTCATAATAACAATATAATTAATATAATACAAAATATCCTAAGCTGACAAACCGACAACCGTCCCTGCTCAGAAACGTTTTTCATATACAACGATATTATATCATCGAATTCAAATTTAACACCATCCAATACAGTCACCCGTTTGCAACATACTGCACAGCAGAGCGGCTTTTTAATATTGTGAGGGAAATTTGAAGAATTCCGTGAAAATAAACCATTGAAATGTAAATCAGAGCGGTCATATTTTGACAGTTTTTATTATTATTATCATTAATATTGTTTTCCGAAACAAGAATTGAAATAGGTTAAATTAGGTTCTTATATATATTGACTGCTGCACTGCAAGCCGTCTCACTATACTTTAGCAGTATAATAATACTAGATATAACAGTATGTTGAAAACTTATAATGTTATATACTATTATACTATAACCTTTCCGAGTATCAGCTAAGCTGTCTGTGGCACGACGATGCGATTCCGGGCTAGCCATATCCGACTGTCTGTTTTGGAATTTCGGACTGCCCCTGTATTTGAACGATAACGTTATTAATTACTATTTAATATATAAAACCATAAAACAATATACCTTTATGATATAACAATTAATGGACAATAGTTTCATTCCGTGTTAATAATAAAATAGCGGCAGCACATTGTATTGGCCGTCCCGATTGTTCAGTATATCATGTTAACCCCGTCGACGTCAGCTGACAACCATACACCGTAATTATTATGTTTAATATTTTTCATTCGTATAATGAGTTTTGAAATAAAAAGTTTTCATTGGTATTTTCCCGAAAACGCGTAAATGTAATGTACAACTTTTTATTTGTCTGTAAACACGAAAAATATAGTTGTTTGCCTTTTCACCCACCTGATAACAATACGAGGATATTCAGCTGAAATTCACTATTTTTGATACACATACAACGGTAGAAATAGACAACAGATACTTTACATAACCATCTTCACATGCATTGGACCTGGTTAAACAACGTACGAATCATGTCCGGTTTGGTTTTCAATAATCTGTCCTAATCGCTTAATGTTTAATAATATTAATAGTAAACTTACGTGACGTGAAACATGCATGCGATCTGACGAGGTCGTTAAAAGCACTCGACCTCGATACGTCCAGTAAAAAGTATATATTAATCAGATTTAACTCCTAATAATTTCCTTTTTAATTATTTTTTATATAAATATACTAATCGATTTATTTTAGCGTATCAATAGTTCTATACTGTTTATAATTTAGTTGCACCTTATACCACGTTTCGTGGTGTATCCCTCCTCTTCTAGTCCCTAGCTTAACTTTATCAATGTACATATTTTAAACTCCTTGAAAACATAATATGAGTACATCTAAGATAATATATTATATAGTTTATACATTTTCTTTTAATTTATTGGGAATGATGGTTGTATCAAAATGTTTAAATTAAAGATCACATGACTAAATAGTAATATCATAATAGTGTATATATTTTGATACACAATTCAACAAGTGTTTGATTTTTTCTTATTCAAATCAAAAGTTCAAATTACTAATTAGAATTTACCACACTATGTACTCCAAGTATATAACTTTCTTTGTGTTGTTCGTACTGAACTGCTTTTCAACATAAAAATTATTAATTTCAAATATATTATTATACATACCTACTCAGCACTCAAAGTGTATTCGGTGTTTTGATGCATCATAGAATAACTGATGGGTGGAAAAATAATTAATACACTACATAATATACATTATACAATATACGAGTGTATGAAATACATTTAGTATTTTAGTTTACAACTTATTTAAGTTCTATTTTAAAATTAAATGTGGAATATACTAATAACTAGTAGTATTTACAATCATTATATTCACTAAGCGTTAATAATATTTATATTCTTTTGTTTTATTCAATTTATTTATTTCACACTTTTTCGATTTAGGTAA